ACATGTGATGTGTGTAAGGAAGACAAAGCCAAAGCGAGATGCTGTTCATTTCAGATGTGCGGGGAAGAAGCATATGCTTGGATGTATCTACACTCTATAGAATGAAAGCAGTGACACTACTTTAACTTCCATGGCCCAGTACTATGAAATCCTGGGAGTTGTAGTTGTGAGATACCAGCATTTGTAGCTTGTAATTTGGTGAAACACCAGGCCCAGTGTGGTGTAGTGGTTTCAGTACTGGAGTACAGCATTGGAAGAGTAGGGTTGCATCTACAATATAAAATAAATTCAGTTTGACATCACTTTGTCATAGCTCAATGCTATGGAATCATAGTTCACAAGGTCTTTAGCCTCTTCTACTAAAAAGTGCCTTACAAAACTACAACTCCCTAGATTCCATAGCATTGAGCCATGGCAAGTAAAATGGTATCAAACTAAATTAATTCTACAGTATGGATACATCTCTTTTTTTCCCACTCAGATGGTTGCTTTTCTATCTTCTGTGCCTCTCCACTTTGTCACATTCGGTGAATGGCTAAACAACCATGACTAGCACCCCATGACTTGACTGCTGGAATTGAAAAAATATATTAGAAGCTATTTTTAGTTTTGATTTGCAGTAACTTTCAGAAGGCTTTGAAAAGAGGAAATCAATTTCTACCAAATGTTATTGAATGGCACCAGCTAGAAGCCCTGGTCAGCAATGTCACTGACAAGGAATGCTTAAGTCTGAGTTCAAAGAAATTGGCAAGCCATCTACTCCTGCATACATAGATATGTATGACTATCAGTGTGCCTTCAAGTCACCTGTCAATTTATGGCAATCACATGAATTTCATAAGACTTTCTTTGACAATGAATACCCAAAGCCATACCTTTGTAATAATAATAATAATTTGGAAACAATAAACATTGACAAAATCATGATCTGTCAACTGCAAAAGGCCACCTTACTTGGATCTGCGTGCATCATTCAAACATACATCATACAGTCCTAGACACTTGGGAAGTGTTCAACATGTGATTTTGTGATACCAGCATATAAATCTCGTTTGCTGTGACATACTGTGTTTTTGTGTCAGTAAAATAATAATATTTATTTATTTATTTATTTGAACAGTCATATGACCATTTCAAAATACAACACGAGTCAAAGACAAGGCAAAAAGGAGAGGGCAGCAGCTGACCTTCTCTTTACAGTCAGAATCTTATTTTCCTTGTTCTTCTTTCAGGAAATGTGCTCTTTTCTTGATAGCTTTCAGAATAAAAAGACTTACTCTGATTATGAGGGATCTTTCCTGTCCTTGCAAGAGGAATGTCGGAAGATCATTTCTGATGTTTATTACCTTTATAATAAACAAACAACACAAAGGTGTTATTTAACGTATCTCTACTCTTTGAAAGAACATTGTATGTTTGTTTGGAAAACTAACCCATTTTTCTCCCCAATAACACATAAGTATGTATTCCCGAACCTTATATTTGAAGTGGTATCATTCCAGCAAGGATATATACATGATAGAAGAGACCAATTTTCTGTTTCATCCCTGGAATCAGAAAAATAACTAATCCTAATAACAGGTCCATGTGATCCTTTTGTGCAGCTGAAAATAACAGTCCCATGACATATGAAAAACAAAATGTTGTACTCAGTAAACAAAAAGAAGTGCTGATTACAATACAAAACAAGTTCCCCAAAGGGTGTATATTAATATATCTATGAATGTTCACAAAAAGATGAACAAAAAGTGAACCCAACAGACAAAACACTGTGATTCACATTCAGTGTTGTTTGCCAAGCTGTCAAAAGGTGATTGCATTAAGGAAACTGAGAAGATGCTGACTATAGCGAAAACACGTTCTGCAGAACAATTTCAGAGCTGGGATTGAATTACATAAATTGGAAATGTTTATTAATACTGCCAAGAATAGACATTACAAGTTCCTGTGTTTAACAATAAATTTAACCATGATTGGGTTTAAATGTACAGTTTGACTCTCCTCAACATAAACATAAAGGGGAAGGCCACCTTCAAGGATTAGGGCTGCTTGGCACAACCATTCTCCACTCATGTGGCTAATAAAATTATATCTATATCATATAAGAGCAGTTTGATATCACTTTAGCTAGAGTTGCCAGGCCACAAGTATACCAGGACCTAACATTTCCAGAGTAAAAAATTATTCCCAGTAACGTCAAGGACGTGGCGCCTGGGTGTTCTGGCTAGGAATGAAACATTAATAAGCATGAACCACCATTGTGTTGTCGAAGGCTTTCATGGCCAGAACCGCTGGGTTGCTGTGAGTTTTCCAGGCTGTATGGCCATGCTGCAGAAGCATTCTCTCCTGACGTTTTGTCCACATCTATGGCAATCATCCTCAGAGCTTGAGAGGTATATTGGAAACAAAGCAAGGGAGGTTTATATATCTGTGGAAGGTCCAGGGTGGGAGAAAGAACTGTTGTTGGAGGTAAGTGTGAATGTTGCAATTGATCACCTTGATTAGCATTGAAAAGCCTTGCAGCCTCAAGGCCTGGCTGATGGAATCCTTTGTTGGGAGGTGAATAGCTGGCCCTGACTGTTTTGTGCCTTTGGGTTTTCTTTACTGGTAGCAATATTTTGTTGATTTTCATGGTTTCCTCCTTTCTGTCAAAATTGTCCACCGTCTTCCTAATCAAATTCTTAGATATACTAAGAGTTTTTTACAATGTGGTGTTTAATTGTGTCCAATTAGTTTCTTCTCACAAATTGGGCCACTCTTTGGGCCTGACCTAAAACAGTCTGACCTGGAGACATCAGAAAGCCCATTGAACAAAAAAAAACTCATTAAACACAAGTCTCAAAGGTGCTACAGGATCCTTTTTCATGTAGGCCCCTTCTACACTACCATATAAAATCTAGATTATCTACTTTGAACTGGGTTATATGGCAATATAGATACATATAATCCACTTCAAAGCAAATAATGTGGATTATCTGCTTTGATAATCTGGATTATATAGTAGTGGAGAAGGGGACTTTGTCAGTGTTCCACATCATATTTCAATTCTGTTTACAATATCTCTTAATAACAATGCCTTCTAATGCCACACCTTAGTATATGCAGTTTTATGCACGTTTATGTTCCCCTTTACCTTTTCCAGGCAACACTGTGCAAGCGAATATCCTCATTTAATCTCTCTCTATAACTGAAAATCTCACACATTTGTACCTACCTTAAAGGCTCCTATATGTCTTGATGGATGTGAACCAAACTTGGCACATATACCCTTTGTGCCAAAAAGCAGGGGAATTCCAGACAAGAATCAATCAGGGCCAGCTAACAACTCCCAAAAAAGGATTCCCTCAGTCAGCAACCAGCCAGGCCTTGAAACTGCAGGCTATTAAATGCTAATCAAGGTGGCAAATTGCAAAATTCATACATACCTCTAGCAGACATGAGGTTTTTTTTTCTCCCACCCTGAACATTCCAGATTTTTATTTATCGTGTCATCCGCAACCAGAACATTGTATTACATTTCTAACAGAACAAAACAAACAAACAGATTGAAAAAAACACAAATTTTGCAAACTTGGTAGTTGATTAAATGTCCTTTGACCAGTATCTGGCCACTTGGAGTGCCTCTGATGTTACAGCAAGGAGGTCTTCCATGGTGCATGTGGCAGGGCTCAGGTTGCATTGCAGCAGGTGGTCAGTGGTTTGCTCTTCTCCACACTCACATGTCGTGGATTCAACTTTGTAGCCCCATTTCTTAAGATTGGCTCTGCATCTCGTGGTGCCAGAGCGCAGTCTGTTCAGCGCCTTCCAAGTCGCCCAGTCTTCTGTGCATTCCAGATATATAAACCCCACATGTCTAGTTTCTAACAGACCTCACAACCTCTGAAGATACCTGCCATAGATGTGGGCGAAATGTCAGGAGAGAATGCTTCTGGAACATGGCCAAACAGCCCGGAAAACTAACAGCAACCCATATACCCTATATTGCCCAACTTAAAATACTGGTCAGCTTTCAATTTTTAAGAAACCACCCCTTTTCGGTCTTGAACCTCAAAATAAATTTAAAAAGATGTGTGTATGTATGCAGCACCCAGATGCAACCACAAGATGGCAGTGCATAAACAGACCGATTTGTGTACTGGCCCTCAAATCAAGTTGGTCAGAAATACAGGTAGAATATTGCTGAATAAGGCTTTTATGCCCAGAAAATCCCACAATATCTGCTTTGAACTGGGTTATCTGAGCCCACACTGCCATATATTCCAGTTCAAAGCAGATAATGTGGGATTTTATTCATCTGATTTTATTCAACTACAAGAGAGGAGATTCCATCTGAACATAAGAACTTCCTGACTGTGAGAGCCGTTCAGCAGTGGAACTCTCTGCCCCGGAGTGTGGTGGAGGCTCCTTCTTTGGAAGCTTTTAAACAGAGGCTGGATGGCCATCTGTCAGGGGTGATTTGAATGCAATATTCCTACTTCTTGGCAGGGGGTTGGACTGGATGGCCCATGAAGTCTCTTCCAACTCTTTGATTCTATGATTCTAAGGGTCTAAGTTGCTTTGAATTTTTTCGGGTTGTATGGCCATATACAAGTAGCATTTTCTCCCGACATTTGGCCTGCATCTGTAGCAAGCTTCATCAGAGGTTGGTTCAGAAGTCTGTTGGAAATAGCAGAGGCCTGATATTGTTGGATAGCAAATCCCATTAGCCTGGGCCATTTTATTCCTGAGGATTGATGGAAGCTGCAGTCCAAGAACAACAGAAATTTCACTGCTAGGAATTGTGGGAGTTGTAGTCCAAAACTGGAAGTTTGCCCATGTCTGGTTTAGAAGATGACAGGAGCCCTGAGGAAGGCGCGCTCCTACTCTCTCCTTTCTCCCCCCCCCCCCCCACTTCGCGGAGCGCGTGCGTGACGTACGGAGACGTGCGCCGTTTCCATGAGAACCCGTTTCGACGCCTCCGGGCGGTCAGAGTTTGTGGTAGGAGGAGGGAGGGCATCGAAGGCCTCCCGCGGAAGGGGCGCGCGGCGTTGCTCCTGTCTCCATGGCAACCCCTCTCCGCGCACCTGCTAGGCCAAGGCGCAGGCGGTTTGCGCGGCCAAAGAGGGAGGGCGGCCATGTCGCGGCGGCGCTCCTCGGCCAGCTCAAGGCTGAGCTGGCGGCAGGACCAGGCGCTGAGCGGCACCATGCGAGTCGTGCGGAACCTGGGGCCCACGGCTTTCGTCTGCAAGAGGCGGAGGAGCGGGAGGAGGAGCGCCTGCCCGCCGCAGAACACAGGGTAGGGCCAGAGGAGACCACCGAAGGGATAGAGCAGCCACATCCGGGACTCTGGATCCCTCAGGACAGCCTGCACGCGCTGGGGATTGTTGCCCCGCCTCCTTTCCGCCCAGGTGGAGAAGCTCCTCTCCTCTGCCTTCACGCCCCTTCTCACTCATGGCAGACCTGTCATTCGCTGGCAAGATTACTTCAGACGGGTTTAATAATAATAATAATAATAATAATAATAATAATAATAATAATAATAATAGTAATATAACAACAAGTATAGATTGTCGATGTTGCAATCCCAGGTGACAGCAGGATTGAAGAGAAACAACTGGAAAAGGTGACACATATGAGGATTTAAAGATCGAACTGCATAAGACAGTCAAGATGGTCCCAGTGGTGATCGGCACACTGAGTGCAGTGCCTAAAGACCGTGGCCTGCACTTAAACACAATCGGCACTGACAAAATTACCATCTGCCAGCCGCAAAAGGCCACCCTACGATACATCACACAGTCCTAGACACTTGGGAAGTGTCTAATGTGTGATCCAATACAACAGTCAGCAGAGTGTCTGCTGTGGACTCACCTTGTTGTGTTTAAAATAATAATAATAATAATAATAATAATAACAACAACAATTTTATTTTTATACCCTGTCTCCATCTCCCCGAAGGGACTCAGGCGGCTTACAGAGGGACAAGGCCAAGCATTGCAATAAAACAGACACAGTAAAGACAATCAATAACAACAAATAATAAAAACATTAAAATCAATTAACATCATAAAAACAATACCCTGGCTGGCCAATTTGAAACTGGGTTTGGGCTCAGAGTAAGATGAATAATTCCTTGGATGAACCACCCTGACTCCCCCCCTAGGGGGTTGAGAAGGGCGCAGAGGCGGCCCTAGGTAATTTTCAACGGTAAGCAAACAGTATCCCCCCCACGATCACTGATATATATTTTCTGTTCATCGTAGGAGTTCTGTGTGCCATATTTGGTGGAGTTCAGAATGCTCTCTGATTGTAGGTGAACTGTAAATCCCAGTAACTACAACTCGGATATGTCAAGGTCTATTTTCCCCCAAGAGTGCCTCAAGAACCCCCGGGGCAAATTCAACTATACTGCAAATGCTTACTTTGTGTAATGGGTTGAGCCGCCCCTGGAAGGGCGGGGTAAAAATACCCTAAATAAATAAATAAATGGATTGTCAGCGTAATGCCCTTGGCCATTAAAGTGTCATAAGTGTGATAGTATGATAACTGGGTCCCCCTGCCACTAGTATCATGTTGTCTCCGAAACGCAGCTTCAAGTATGGAGATTGTGTAATGCAGGCGTGCGGCGATACCACTGAAGTAATTTAACACAGGGGGGACACAGATAACAGTGAAGGAACATTAGTTCTTTAATGAAAAATGATAAAGAAGAGTTTGGGGAACGCTTTGGGAAGACCTTAAACAGGATAGAAATTACCAATCTGACTCAAAATATTATTAAATGGTTCAATGTTCCCAGCCCAGATCCACGCTGTCCACAAACTGGAGGCGTTGGGCACAAATTCAACATACTTGCCAAAAACTCACGGGCTGCTCCATTCTCCGAAAATGCGGAATAAACTGGATTTGAATCATTTCACACCACTCCTTGTACTTCTCCCCCCCCCCTTTCTATCCTCCTTTCTAATTCAATTATGAACTATCATCCCTAGTTTCCCCTCCCCCCGGCACTCACTCTGCCCGCTCTTACTCCACCCGCTATCTTGACCATGTGGTTGGACACGTGTTCCCTTCCCTGAAAAACAACTGCCGTTGCGGAGACAGCATAAAGGTAGTGGCAGTGGGACCCAGCTATCATACTATCACCGTGATAAGTATGGGAAAGGGCCCAACTAAAGTGTCAGAACTTAGATAAGGTCGGGATAATTCTCAAGTGAACCACCTAATCAAAGGCACAACAGAACAACCAAGTTTTTAATTCCTTTCAGAAAATGGAAAGAGTGGGGGTCTGTCTGAACTCCCTAGGCAGAGAATTCTAGAGCTGAGGGGCCACCACAGAGAAGGCTCTCTCCCTCGGCCCCACCAACCATGCTTGAGACAGCTGCTGCTGAATCCTGTTCTCCTTGAGTAAAATATCAATCCTTCAATCATCCAAACCCATAAGAAGGCAAAGCCACAAATCCCGTGTCATGATCTCTAGTAATGAATCAACGTTCTCAAGAACAAACATAACAGACTCAAAGAGCTCATAAAGTAAAAAATAGCATTTCATTTTTTCCATGAGTCATCTGGTTTTCCAGCATTTTGAGCTCAGGCCTCCTTTTGAAGTTTTTCAAGAATTAGATAAATGTTCGGCTACATAGTAATAAATAAGTGGCGTAAATCAAAAGTTGTGGCAGGCTTATTGCACCTCACTTTAAAAACATTAGATTTTAATCACAGTCCTATATATTTATCTATTGTATAAATATGTGGCTCCTTGTCACAGATTGGCCCTCTTCCATTGGAAGGGGAACCTGGAAAGCCTTGGCTTGTATCTTTTGCATCGTTTTTAAACTGGGGATGTTTAAAAACAGTAATATTGCATAAATCATCTGTAGGAATAATGGAAAAGTTTTAATTGACAACTCTAACTACATAGGTCCACTGGTGGCGCAGCAGGTTAAACCGCTGAGCTGCGGAACCCCTGACCGAAAGGCTGGTGGTTCGAATCAGGGGAGTGGGGTGAGCTCCTGCTGCCAGGCCCAGCTTCTGCCAACCTAGCAGCTCCAAAATATGCAAATGTGAGTAGGTCAATAGGTACCGCCATGGCGGGAAAGTAATGGCACTCCATGCAGTCATGCGGGCCACATGACCTTGGAGGTGTCTACGGACAACGCCAGCTCTTCGGCTTCAAAATGGAGATGAGTACCAACCCCCAGAGTTGGACATGACTAATCTTAATGTCAGGGGAAACTTTTACCTATCTAACTACATACACATCTTATTATTCTTTTGATTCCAGTTTACAACATCAAATAAAGTTAATGTCTTTCTTTTGTTTTGATAAAAGGTTTCCCTGGGGAACCCGCACTCATGCAGCTGCTTAACATTTGTGAAAGAGAAGGACCTCTGTAAACATATCTGCTGGTAAACTGATTTTTTTTACTTTGCCAATTTTATTTGATACAGTTTATTTTATCCTGTAGTCTTGCAGTCACACAGTTCTTTAGGGTTTCTTTTAAAAAGTTAAATAGTGGAACAGAAGAGCCAAAGTGGCCCCAGGGGATAGAGGGACACATGGGGCTTAGGGAAGGAAAGAGGATCCAATGATTTATGGAGATGGAGGAAGGGAAGAGAAGGCAGTGTGATGTAAATAAAGAAATGGGAGAGTGTCAGGTTAAAAAATAGTTTATTTGCTGATTTTCAAATTTAAATTAAGTTGTTGTCCCATTTCTGTTTTATTTTCAGGTTATTGTTGAAAAAATTCAAACTTCCAAGAAACCATGAATGTAAGTACCAGGCAGTTTCATATTTTTATTTCCATGTTGTGGTTCAGTACATGATGTGCTAATGGGATACCACAGTTTTCCCTCATAGGGTCACCTTTGGAATGTTTTATGAGAGGGATGGGCAACTTCAAGGGGTTAGGGAGCCATATTGGTCTTCAATGGGTCCTTAGCAGATAGAACCCATTATGATAGCCTCCCTGAAATGCTTGCCCCTAGCAATTCTCCCCAACTTTGCCCCTAGGAATGAGAAGCCATGTCAGGTTCAGAAGAGGCTTTCTTCCAGATCACTTCCTTTTGAGGAAAAGCCCCTTTTGGATCTTAATTGAGCCTATACTCCAAAGGGACAAAAAGAAAGTCCACAGAATTTAAAAATATATATTCTGTTGACCTGGAGAACTCTTAAAGGACACAACACGAGACTTGAGAGTTTCATGCAGACCACAGGCTGCTCTTTCCCTACCCTAGAATTATGACATTAATTTCCATGAAGTCTTGTTTTTGTAATTGGTTTGACATATATATCACAAATGATATTTCCATAATAGGATATTGTCCTTCTCAAACCATATCCGTGTTCTCAGTGGATGTCTAGGTTTGCTTCCTAAAGAGCGGAAATGAACTGAATCACTTAGTTTAAAAAACCAGTGGAAGGCTATATATAATGAGATGTTATCAGAAATTTTCAGTTTTGAATTTTTGTGCAGATGCTTTACAGGTTGGTCTTGTGGAGAGAGAAATCAACTATGTGCTTCAGCATCCACAAATGATTTCCCAAACCCCCAAAAATGTGGATTCCGTTAAGGAGGTGCAGACAGATTCTTATGGGTACATTAAACAAAAAGATATTGATAATGAGGATGTATGCCCTATTTGCCAAGAGCCATTACTCAAGAAAATGCTTCCTGTCACATATTGCAGGTAAGTTACCTCTCTTATAAAAGTCAATTAATAGTGGAAGAAGAAAGAATATTAATTGCCCAACTTTAACAGCTTGATAGAGATTATTTCTGCTTAATTTACCTTCCAGTGATGTTTAAACCAGGATTTTTTCTTTCTTTCCAAATCTAATGTAAATTAAACCTACCCAGAAACTGGCCTTTAGCTATAGTGTTAGAGTCATTTAATCTCTTATTTATAGCACAAATTTAGGACAAGAAGAGTGTTCTGTTTTGTTAGAATTTTAAAAGCTTATGAGGTACATGTTTTAGTAGTCTTACAGAAGTTTAGATATTTTGTATTTTGGGGAAAATATTGGGAAGGGTATATGGTAGGGCAGAGAGTCAGCGTACTGTGAATGTTGGACTAGGACAGTGGGAGAGCAGGGATTGCATCACCATTCAGCCATGAAAACTTACTGGATGACCTTGGACAGGTCACACACACTCGGCTTCAAAGGAAGGCAATGGCAAATCTCCTTTGAACGAATTCTACCAAGAAAACTCTATGATAGGTTCGCCATATGATCTCCATAAGTCAAAAAGGATTTGAAGCACATAACAACAACAACAACTTGGTAGAACCATTGTGATCCCATAATGCACCCGTTCCTGTTCTCAGTTCCATTATGGTCCCTGGTATCAATGCCTTTTGTATTTTGGTTCAAACTCTGACATAACTCCACCATTAAGTTCTAGTTTCAGAGTAGGTTTAATTTGGATGGCTCTCAAGGAAAGGAAAACTTAATTACTTAGCAAATCAGATAGTAAAGTAAGGCCCAGCCCCCAACGAATGAACATACAGGGACTCCTCAAGAGGTTATTGCTAAAGAGGTGCAGCCTTAAGTTAAATGGGGTTTTTTCTTGTTGCGGTTTTGGACTACTAGATATAGACATAGATATAGACATCAACTTTTATAGCTTTACAGAGCATTTTGTTTTCAAATTCCATGAGAACAACTAAGAGCAGAATTGATGATTTTCCACAGATATGGTTGTGGCAACAGCGTACACATAGTTTGCATGAAGATCTGGAGCGATCATCAAAAATTGTTGGATAAAGATTCTTTGGTGAAGTGCCCTCTGTGCAGGGAAAATTTTGCATCATTGAAACTCATCTTGGAAGAATTCATAAACTGCCAGAGACATATGACTATAGCTGAGAAAACGCGTCTTGAGAAACATCTTGGAATCCCTTGCAATAACTGCAGAATATGCCCCATTGAAGGCAACTGCTACAAGTAAATATTTTAAAAGAGTTTTTTTTCCCTTATGTCCTCACTGATAGTTATGAAAAGTTTTTAACTCTGAATATGTTTTAATGGTTTTTAATTGGGATTTTAAAAATACTGTTTATATTTAATCCTGTTTTAATGCTTGCATATTGGTATATTTTAAATTGTATGCTAATGTTTTTATGTTGAGCAACTTAGAGTCTTCTTCAGGAAAAATAAAGTGGGGTAATAATAACTGTTAGCAGAGTCTTTCTTTATTATAAATTCATAGTGGAAAACATCAAAAGTAAGAAAACAAACATCTTGCATCAGATATCAGACCCTAAACAAAACATTTAGAGTCCCAAACTCCAAAACGCCATAGCTTCTCCAAAAGCTCAAGGCTATAGCAATAGCAGAACGCTGAGGGACGCTGAAAGCTGCTGAAGGCTGCTGCTGGCTGCAGGCAGATGCAACACATTATAACCACAGTAATTAGATCCACCTGCACCCAATTAACCAAAACCACATCACAAGCATTTCAGCAATTAAAGATACAAACTTACTTATACATACATAACCCAAATACATACAATGAACAGATAAAATTTTGCACATTTTTACAGTTCTCCTGACAATAACCATCATCATCATCATCATCATCTGATATTTTCATTATACTTAAGCTTAAAATGAGCAGTTTCAGAGAGATCTAGAGTCAGAGCTTATGCTTGTTTGAACACGAGTCCTTTCTCTGATGTTGAAACTCTAATGAGGACCACAGACCTTTCTGAGGAGGCAAGGATGAGAAATCCAGCAGAGTTTATACATTCAGAGGGTCAGATTGTCTTCCTCATGATCTTGTGCTTACCGTGCCAGGGACCTTGGGATTGCAGAATGAAGAAATGTAATACTTTCAGATACAGTTTTTGTGATTAATTAATCTTATTCCATGTCAATCAGTGGCCTGGTTAATCTTTAGATATATTATTAATGGGGTAATTCTAATGGTTTTAGTTTAGATAGGAGTCCATACATTAGGAAGTAAGCCCCATTTAAACACTGGGGGACTTGCCTCCTAGGAAATAAATATCCATATGATTGGGCCGACAGAAAGAAAGCTGCCTTAACTAAAAGAAATAACATCCCCAGTTACTTGTGAGCTTGGATAATAGAAGCCTGTATAGCAAATGCTTGCTTTAATAATCTTTTTTATATAAACGGCTATGTTAGAATTTTCTTATAGCATGAAGTTTTAGAATTAATATTCTGATTGATAATACCTGCTTTCTTTCACAATGGAAAGTAATTAGTTTTAATCCTTAAAACCCACCTTTAAAACATATAGGGCCCTTCCACACAGCCATATAACCAGAATATTAAGGCAGAATAATCCATAATATCTGCTTTGAACTGGAACATCTGAGTCCACACTGCCATATATCCCAGTTCAAACCAAATAATGTGAGATTTTATTCAGCTCTGTGGAATTGGCCATAGAGAGTTACAGATAATGATAATAGGCTAAATAGTATCCCGCCCTCCCCAATCAAGAATAACAATAAACATTTAAAAATGTCAGGAGGAGGACTATTACTCCCCCTAGCGTTAGTTGTGGAAAGGGATTTTGTCTGTGTATAAATCAAGCCTAGGTCATGCTCGTGCTCTTGTGGTACTTTACATAAGATACCATCCGTAAAATGTATTTTGAAGCTAGAGTGTTGGGTTTTTTAATCCTGGCAGCCCATACCAGTCAATATCTCTTCATTTTGCCTGCCTAAATTTGTTTCCAATGATAGACGATTTGGTATTAAATGAATCCTGAAATATATGCTTTCAGAATTCTTTGTTTTGGGGAGCTGGGATAATAGGGAATGGATCCCATTGTTCTGCAAGTGCATATACATACTTTTTAAAAGAATGTCTAATGTTTTAATGATAGGCTTCAAAAAGTAATGTACACTCTCTCACTTGCTCAGTGAATATGTAATGCAGATTTGTATGGCATTTCTGCTTCAAACCAGTGGTGTTTACACCAAACAGTGGCAGTGACAGCAGCAAAGTTCTGGCAAACACTGGATGGTACCCATTACCGTGGTTGTTTTTTGTCACTGCAGAAATTAATCATTGTTATATTTTGTTTTCAAGGTGTAGTGTGTGTAGTGAATACCACTTGTGTGACAGATGTTTCAGCAGCTTTTGTCATCCATCACATACTTTTGCTGTTCGAGAGGTACAGTATCATTGCCACTTAGCAGCTTTTCCATTTATCTTAATCCAAGAATCAAGAAAGAAAAGATCAATACAGGGATCTGTTGACTCATCCTATCAGATGGGCATATGTGAATTATTTATAGGGCGTAAAAATCAATGATGTTTATCTAAATTGTGCTAGGCAACCAGAGCATAGAAAATCTGGCTGCATCCCTAAATGTACTAGAAACTAAGCCTTTCTCACCACAGCAGCACTTCATCAGTAATTTTGCATATAAACTGGGCTTGACCAAGTTACTTTTTAGAGAAGAACTTCCAGAAACCTCCAGATAGCATGACCAGTGGCTATGATTTCTGGTGAATTGTATGGGGACTATATCATTTTCTCTGTCTGTCTGTCCATCTATCCATAAATACATACATACAAATATTATTCATGATCTTTATGACTCACATAGAAATCATGGAGAATATTTGTTACCAGTACCTTCTGGAGCTATTATATGTTTTGATAGCAACCCATCAATGTGGTTCCATTCTTTTCTATTTTGTGAGATGCATATGACTCTTCCGAGTTTGGATTGCAACTCTCAGTAAACTCCAGCATGGTTTATGCTGGCTAGGTCTGGTGGGAACTGCAGTTTGACAATGTCTGTTGGGCCCTACTTTTTTCTTCCTAACCCTTTGGAGATTTTACAGTTTATTTAATTTTTCATATGAAGTTTAAAACTATTTTAATTGTGATTGAAAAAGCACTTGCTGACAACTGTCTTCAAGCAATTTCAGCAGCGGTTTAGTTGTTCCATTGTTTCTTTGCCATTCTGCAGAAACGGAATCAAATATGGAAACCAGTTGAACCTACACTAAAACGAGCAGCATTAGAAGAAAATCTTCAGAGTGTTAATTCAAAGGAGATGTCTAAAGAGGAAAAGGGCAAGGAAAAGTAAGATGTAGTGTGAGCTTTTGAGTCCATTTTAATCAAAAGATGTGATTCTTGAGATGGGGGAATATCGGTAATTATATTTCATATCTTTTAATCTCAATGAAAATGTAGTATTTTAAGGAATGTTTATGGCGGGGGGGATATCACTGAATTAAGCACTGTGATACAGTTATTCACACAGATTGATATAAAATAAAGAAGATGGGGAGAGAGAAAATAAATATTTTCTTTTTTCTTCCCCTCGTTTTTCCCTTGTTTTTCAGGAAAACAGGCTACTTTTTTGATTAATGCTAATTAAGACCATGAAATGTGTAAGGAATACATTAAACTTTGCCATAATTATATTGGAAACTGCTTTGAGTCCCCTGCTGGGGTGAGAAAAGTGGTATATAAGTGAAATAAATAAATGCTTAATGAATATTACCTTCTGATTTCCAGAACTTTTATTCAGGTTTAACCATAATCTTATATATAAATCCAAACAAAGACAGATAGTAGGGCAGATTAACTAATGCAGTATGATCTTGTCATTTGCTTTTCAGGTTAAGTTGCACCCCAGTACAAATAATAAATGCATTGCCCACTGTGGTGGTTAGGAAACGTAGCAGTTTACTTGATCCAGGTTTGCAATGTAGACTCTGTTTGAAGGCCTTTTGCCTTGGTCAAGTTACAAGATTTTTGCCATGTAACCACAAGGTAAGTAAAATGTCAGTTTGGGTAACTGCCTTTCTGCTCTCTTCCAAATCCTCTTTGTACTGACCATCCTTGGTCACCTTGGCAACAATACTTTTCAAGCGGCTGTTCATACATTCATCACATGTTTAGTCACTCCCCCCCCCCCCCCCCCCCCCCCCCCCCTCCCCCCCCCCCCCCCCCCCCCCCCCCCCCCCCCCCCCCCCCCCCCCCCCCCCCCCCCCCCCCCCCCCCCCCCCCCCCCACCCCCCCCCCCCCCCCCCCCCCCCTGTTGTTGTGGTTGTTGTTTCTGACTTATGATGACCCTAAGGCAGTTGTGGTCATATTATTATTATTATTATTATTATTATTATTATTATTATTATTTATTACCCGCCTCTCCATCATGGCTCAACAGTCACAAAATGGGGGGGGGGGGGTCAGGGGGCCAGAACGGATGAATAGCATGTCAATGTGGAAATTTGCTTTGAGGTAAGAAGGTTTTGAGTTGAGTTAAGAGCTCAGTCATGGAACAAATTAAACTCTTAAGTCAAGGCATCACTCTATAAGTTATGTGTTTAATTTGTAAAGTAGTGTAACTTAACATGGCCCAAACTTGTACCAATAGGGCTTATCTTCTAAATCATAATTTGTACATACAGTAATACTTTGACATATGAATTTACGACCAAGGTTGTAACTCAATTTGCTTGTATGTCAAATCAGATTTCCCTAATGAAATGTATTGAAATGCTATTAATCTGTTCCAGCCCCCACAAAACCACACATTTTTAAAAAATTAAGTTATGTACCTTCAGGATCAGGGAAGATGTTGGTGGGGGTGGAGGAGACCACTCTATCCGCTTGTGATTGATGAGCCAGGAGCACCTCTAAAGGCATGTAGCATAGGTTGCATGGTGGTGCTGAGCCGCTGATGCCGCTGCCTATGTATCTGCATGCTGGTTGTCCTCCACTCATGCTCCAAATGGCAGCAGAGACGGCAGCAGCCTTTTAGGCTCTTTGGAGCACTTTGTGAAGGCAGCTCAGGGAGCTCATAACTCAATTCATAAAAATTGAATGAGCAATGGCTCGTATCTCAGAAAACTCGTAAGTAGGGATGCTGTTAAGTCAAGGTTCTGCTGTATATATACTGCATATCAGAATATGCAGCTACGTTTTGAGAATATATACTCTTGATTTTTCTTTTCTTTTTTTCTTTTTGAAGACAGAAGTAACAGGAAAGCAATTGGTCTGTAAACCCAAAGATTTTGGAATGCATCAGTTCAGTCATGGAATTTATCAGAGTTAAATACTCCATGGCTATTTAAGTATATTGATTTATGATCCCATTTGAGCTAATGCATTTTCCACCATAAATTAGTGTGTGGGGGCCTAATGCTCCTAAGATAAGTAGATTCAGATTATCATTATTCCAGTGAGACCATTTATGTTAGGCCTGATTGTCTTACAATGTAAAAGGATAATCTTGTTTTCTGCTAATAGTTTGTTGGGATTCATATCCAAAAGACTTGATTAAGACTTGACTCATTGGAGAAATGAGCATCTTTAGAATTAAAAAATACTGAGATGCTGTCCCTTATTGATGCATATTTCCCTCAGTTCCACAGGAAATGCATTGACAATTGGTTGTTTAAAGAAAATGCCTGCCCCATTGATGGACACATTGTCTATAATCCATTAGCCTGGGATAACCTACGAACCAAAGATAAAGTAAATTTGTCAGCATCGGAAGGAGCGATTAAGCTTGCAAAGCAGTCAGATCATGAACTTTTCATCCCAGGCACTGGATTGCTTTCCAGGCCAATGAAGCCTGGTCATGTCCTTGAGAAGACTCAGACTAGACCTGAAGAATGTTGTAAAGAGACAAAAAGCCAAATAGATTTGAAGCAGAATTTAACAGTGAATGGGTTCAGCTACACTCCTACAAGAAACTCTGGCCTCAACCTGAACAGCATTCAGAAGGCCAGAAATCTGAAGTTTTCAAGATACATTAAGGGTTTGGCCCTTATTCCAAAACCTGCTGCTACACAGAACTCAGTTGCCAGTGATTTAAGAGGTTTATCTATAAATGGGAATTTACATTAAGATTGTGATGTTTTACACATTTATTTGAGTCAGTCCCCAATACTCAGCTGAAGACACTTTTGAGTAAATGTATGGAGGATCAATACTAAATAGATTTTTTTCATCAACATTTAAAAGCCCATCTGTTAGTATCTTTAACTTATTTTCAGCTTTTAGTTTATCTTTTAGAAAATTATGTCAGGCTACATGATGCTTGTCTGAAATATAAATTTAAATTGCCATAATAAAGTTATTAGAAAAATGGACCTTGCAGATGTGTGTTTGCCCATATCCTGCTTCTGCGGTGCATAGCCTAAACTAAATAGGAAATCATGTACTCAGGTGGCTGCTGTTGTTTCCCAATTTGATTCAACAGATAGAGGTGCCGGTGTTTAATCTTTTTTTAAATTCTGAAATCTCACATAGAAGTGGCTCGTGAATGGGAACTAGATCTGGGTGTATCCCCCGTATTCATTCTTTTAAAAAGGTTCTCCCATGTGCTATTTATCACCACAGCTATTATTTCAGGACTATTCTCTTGTACTAAGCAATAATGAGAAAATATGTGTTGTGGATACATTCACTAATTAATATAGAGAATAACTGGAATTTTTTAAGCAGAGGTGTGGAGCTTCTTATAAATAATTTGAAATCGTATAATGAAAAATAATATTTTTAATTCCCTTATCTTGTGGCAAATGGGATTCTGGTGCAAACTTGTAGGGATTCTGTAAGTAGAGGAGATGTTAGGGAACGTTCTTGGGAAAGGAAGTCAAACTTGTCATATTGATTATGATAAATGCAACCACTAACATGTATATGTGGCTGATTTATTGTTGCAATTCAATTATTGGGCAATGTTCATTTAAAATAAATACACACTGAACTGAATTTACGTATTTACATTTGTGTTTGTGTCAATAAATATACTCTCTAAAGGGATATAAAATCACTGATTTGAACCTACCTCAGCCACCTACATACTCCTCGTATATGGACAATTTTGCATTTTGGAGGATTTCAGATTTCCAAGTAAGGGATGCTCAATCTGACGACTTGGCTTTATATAATTATATGATAGTACTTTAATGTGTTTATATTAGTGTATTATTGATGTGATGTTTTTAAACTATTGTGTATGAATTCCCTTGTTGTAAACCGGCCTGAGTCCCTTGTTGGAGGTGAGAAGACCGGTATATAAAAGTTCTAAATAAATAAATAAACATGTACTAATAAAAGTACAATGAGGTACATTCATGTCTATGTAGAAATTTGCTAATAAAATATTCAGGAGCCACAAAACCCAAATCAGTTTTTAATATTATTTTTATTATATTCATGAGCTCTTTTAACATCTTAATTTTTTTTCAAGATAACACTATAGCAGTTGATCCATTGGTACCGTAGTAGTTACACAAACATGAAAAGCTACCCAGACTGAATAGAAAAATGTAGAAACGTTTTTGTTAAAAGTGTGGGCTACAAAATCTCAAAAAACTGGAATGAAAATTAAAACAGAATTTGAAGTGTAACAGTGGGGTGCTCTGTTACCCATATTTACAGCTTAACTCTAACAAGTGTTGACAAGTATTGACTTGGGATCACTTGGGCTGGAACTAGTATCAGTAGGAATTGTGTGCAGCTTTGTTTTATTCTTCCGGTTCTTCCCGTAATATCTAGTACAACACATAACAACTAGTATCAAGAGCAAGAGTTGTTCACTGTGAGGATATACACAAGTGGAAACAGTTGAAATGAAGGACCACAAAGAGCAGAGCTTTGAAAAAGTTACTCTTTGGGGTTGGCTTTCAGACTGGCCAGTGTTCCTGCTGGTTGGAGTAAATGGAATTGTTGCTCAGAAAAATAACTCCTCCAAGCTCTGAAGACCATGGGCCAATGGAAGCTGGATCATGTAGTCATGGGAATGTTAAATGGCCAAGAACCCCTTAGACCTGTTGACAACAATCCAGTTTGCATTATGTAGTACTACACCAATGTTTGTCAACTATGTTTTGGATTTTACCTCCTAGGATAGTGGTTCTCAGCCTATGGCTCCCCAGGAGTTTTGGCCTACAACTCCCAGAAATCCCAGCCAGCTGTTTACCAGCTGTTAGGATTTCTGGGAGTTGAAGGCCAAAACATCTGGGAACCCACAGGTTGCGAACCACTCTCCTAGGATCTCGTTATTGGCCATACTGGCAGTCTTCTGGGAGTTGAAGTACAAAGCAGTTGGAGGTTCAAAACACTAGATGTTACCAGATATGACAGCTTTCAATGCTTGCAAAACAGCTCTAGTAATATCCAATTCCAGATCCCAACGACGACAGCTTTTATCACTGGGGTCTTAGGCAATTTGTGATTTTGGGCTATAGTCCTATACACTTATGTGGAAAGTAAGTCCCATTGAACTGAACACGGTTTCCTTCTCAGTAGACATATATATAGGACTACACTGTTAGCATGCACAGAAGAGAAAGACTTCTGAATCAAACCACTAACATGTAAAAATATTTTTTTGTACAAAGATTGTGTATTTGCTGATGTACCATAAACTTGTGCTTTAAAGTTACATTGAGGAATAGTGTGTCACCAAGTGGGAAATGTACAAACGGTTGAGAAATCCTTCAAATCTGCAAAGTTTCTTCAAACGTCAATTGGCAAAACTATTTGGTATAAAATTTAACAACTGGAATTATTTCAGAAACATGGATTTTGAAATGATGGAATATAAAGTTCTGGGATGGCTTCAGCTGCCTTCTATCAATAATCCCTTTAGTATCTGTAAAAATATAAAACTGCAAGATTTCAATGCAAGCGTTTTGTTTGCTTGGAAAATATTTGTGTATTCCAAATGTTTTAAATGCACTGAGTGCAACTGAACTCAATTAATTTCAAAATGCCATACAATTGAAGGCAAAACTATCGTTTCCTAAGGCTGCAATCCTAACATTAAGCTTTATTTAAGTCACGGTTTTCCATATATCACCCCAAAACTGCTTGGTATGAGGCTGAAATTTCAATCTTTACATTCTCCAAAGTCAATGAGTGACAGACAGCTCATTTCGGCATGTTCAACAATTAAATGATAACGGTCTTCCTGGACTGTACCAGCAGGCTGCATTTGGTTGCAGTTACATATCCGAAAAAAAACAAAACAAAACCAAAAACCCTCCACACTTGTAGAAAACTAGTATGTAAAAGACAAGAAATAACAAAAATAACTTCCTAGCTAGAAGAAAAGCTATAGGATCAAAAATCTCATGCAGATGTAAGGTGCCCCTTCCATAGACTGATCTTGTTCAGTTCTTCATACTGTAACTAAAGTCACTGCCCAGCAGGCCATGGAGACTTTTAAGATGAATGAATATGACAACATGCTATAATCATATGCTTCTGAGCAGAGGGACCACCATGCTCTAAGTACCATTTCATAATAGGCATTTTTAAAGTACTGACTGCTGTGGGTTTTCCGGGCTGTCTGGCCATGTTCCAGAAGCATTCTTCCGTGACATTTTGCCCACATCTATGGCAGTCATCCTCAGGGGGTGAGGGGGTCTGTTGGAAACTTAGCAAGTGAGGTTTATGTATCTATGCAGTGTCCATGGTGGGAGAAAAAAAACTTTTGTCTGCTTGAGGCAGGTGTAAATGTTGCAGTTGGCCACCTTGATTAGCATTGAATGGCCTTGCAGCTTCAAAACCTGGCTGGTTGCTGCCTGGAGAACTCTGGACAAGAATCGATCAGGACCAGCTTACACCTCCCAACAAAGACTTACCCCCAGGCAGCAACTAGCGAGGCTTTGAAGCTGCAAGGCTGTTGAATGTTAATCAAGGTGGCCATTTGCAACAGTCATGCTTGTCTTGAGCAGACAAGAGTTCTTTCTCCCACCCTGGATATTTCACAGATATATAAACCTCACTTGCCTAATTTCTAACAGACTCCTCAACCTCTGAGAATGCCTGACATAGATGTGGGCAAAACGTCAGGAGAGAATGCTTCTGGAACACAGCCATACAGCTCAGAAAACTCACAGCAACCCAGTGATTCCGGCCATTAAATCCTTCGACAACACATATTTGAAAATAACTTTCCGAACTCTGCTCCGTAGTTATGCATGGAATCACCATGCAAATGTAAAAACTACATCTGCGCAACTCAACAAGAAGTCTTGGGGTATGCTAGCACTGTAGGATCAAACTCAATAAATAGGAGAAAGGTAACAAATCAATTCTTTCTACGCAGTCAACAAATGCTGCCTGAGTTTACCCCAAAGCTTAAAAGATAATTTTCATCTGGACTAAATTATGCTCCTTAAGCACATGCATTAAACATACTGCATCTGCTTTCAACATGTTTTTTGGTAGAATAGGAATAACTCAAGCACAGAAATAGGTATCTGCAGAAGCATTGCCTTCCACTCCAGTTTATCCCTAAGAGACCACATATAAGTAGGCAGTCCCATAGGAATAGTGCTTTAATGTTTCCAATTGGAAGGGAAAAAGTAGTTTAAAAACTGCTTTTTGTGTTAACAGTAAATTGAATTTTCATTACTACTTACATGCAATATCCCAGAAATGAAACACCCTCCCGCCAAGAAAAACTCAAGTGTCTCATCACAAACTCTTTTGGCTAACAGAAAATGTGTGCAGAAATTTTGTTAAGCTGTCCTAAATAGTAGATAAGTTATGAAGAGAAATTTCAAATGTTTGCAAATGTTCAGTGATTGCTTGATATCGCCCACAAAACACAAAGCAAATTTTGAGTTAAAAATAAAAACGTAAGCTAAAAAGTTATCAGAACTATCTAAAGAAATGAAGAGACAACCATTTGGATCCTGGACACTTGGGACTACACACCACAGTGCCTCATTTTTATGTTTCTGTTTTGACAGTATAACAAAATAATTTTGAATTTTAAAATGATGGTAATTACCAGTGACCTCTCTGCATATTATTTACTCAGAGACAGGATAGTTCAGTGGGGCCAACTCCTAGGTTACATGGACTTATAACCTTCAAATGATTACAAATGAATAAAACGACAGTAGAGTCTCGCTCATCCAATGTAATGTATCATCCAACGCAGTCTGCCTCCAGCCCGGATCCACAGCTGTTCCAATACATTGCGATGTTTTGGTGCTACATTCGTAAATACAGTAATTACTACATAACGTTACCTTGTATTGAACTGCTTTTTCTGTTGATTTGTTGTAAAACATTATGTTTTGGTGTTTAATTTGTAAAATCATAATGTAATATGTTTAATAGGCTTTTCCTTAATCTCTCCTTACTATCCAACGTTTTTGCTTATCCAACATTCTGCTGGCCTGTTTATGTTGGATAAGCGAGACTCTACTGTAATAATCTTTGCCCAGGCCTGCTATATAGCTTAATTCTAAGTAACTGTTTTGACAACAGAGAGTAGAATCAATACCATCAGATTAAATAAGACTTACTTAGAAAGTATTTGTGTGTTCTTAATTAAATTGCAAAATTTCAAATGCTGTGAAAAATTCAGCATGTCAGGTTCTACAGTAAGAATAAAATGCTTTTCTTAGGTATATCTATTTTTTTTCTGTTAGCCAAAGACATCAATAACAAAATGAACACTTAGTCCTGAAGATATGCCTTTATGACTTTCATCTATATATTTTCTTAAGTTTCACCTCATGCAATCATTTTCTTTTGGTAACTGTTTTCAACTCTACAATAAATTTAACTTCAAGAATGGCTGTTGTCCTATAGGCCAGACTCACAGCTTACCCAAGGGCCAATAAGTAGTCCCTGAACATCTTCATAGTGCACAAATTAGGTCAGGACCCACACAGTGTGCAGACAGACGGACACAATGTGGATGGTAATCCAGTTGGGGAAACATGTCTGCCATGATTTGTAGGAAGGTACCATCTTGCTTGCAGGAGTGTACTCAGAAGAAACCCATTTACTTGGTTTTATTCCATTTGTAGCAGAAGTGGCCATATAGAATATGGATTTCTTAGTCCCTGCATTTTTCACAATTGTACTCACTACTTTCACCTCTGTCTTCCTAGAGTCCTTTTCCAACTTTTGAAAGACACCAAAGGAGACAATGAAGCTTGGTGCCAAGGCCGGGAAACTGTAATCTTGCAGATTCCCATAAACTCCAAACAGCTTGGCTACAATCTTGTTCCAAGCTAGAGGTCTTCAAACTAAGGCCCGAGTGCCAGATACGGCCCTCCAAGGTCATTTACCCGGCCCTCGCTCAGGGTCAACCTAAGTCTGAAAGCACACAACAACAACAATCCTATCTCACCAGCCAAAAGAAGGCCCATACTTCCCATTGAAATACTATTAAGTTTATATCTGTTAAAATTGTTCTTCATTATAATTATTGTATTGTTTTAAGTGTTTTTTGCACTACAAATAAGGTATGTGCAGTGCGCATAGGAATTCATTCATTCATGTTTTGTTTTGTTTTTCCCCAAATTATAATCTGGCCCTCCAACAGTTTGAGGGACTGTGACCTGGCTCTCTGTCTGAAAAGTTTGAGGACCGCTGTTCTAAGCTATGTTTCAAAAATAGATCCCATCTGAAATATGGGAAGTTGAGAATTACACAATTCAGATTAACACCGTTGTAGTCTACACTGCAAAGTTGTGGGGCAGAGGGCACGACACCAGGCTCGAAAGGCAGGAAGGATTTGTGTTCGCTCTAGTTAATCTGTTTGGACCATGATGAAGAAGCAGCTTCCACTGAAATCTGCTTCCAGTGAAATGTGTTCAGGACTGTAGTGTCAAAGACAGAACATGCCAGACAAACTCAAAACAAGTTCTCTGTAGGACATATTCGATGCCATAAGGAACACCCAGTCATAGGGAGATGACTTCAGTCAGCCAGACCATTAATCCATCCATTGTCCCAAACCCGACTCCCTACATATAGTCAGACCAAAAACTTCAGTGTCCCTTACCACTGTCTACTATGGCTTGACATAATCTTCCCAAGCCATTCCAGAAGTTAACAAGGTCTCAAAATGGGGCCTTCTGCATGCAGTTCATGAGCTTCACTCCTGAGCTATGGCCATTCTTCACCTTCACTTTGCCCTTTCAATGGGCTTGACACAAGATTAGGAAAATAACACAATATAAAATTAGCCTCATGAGGCCAATTCGGCCATGCAAAAAGTAAGTTTTGGATATGGCTACATTTACTCAGATCACAGTTATGTCCAACAGTTTTCCAATGGAACATTTCATAAGCAACAATGGACTTAAGACGAGTGCCAAAGCGAGCAAAAAAAAAAAAGAGGCACATATTCAAATTGCTTCAGTATAATTCTTTTTCTTTTTAAGGCTATGAAGTAGTACAGGGCATTGTTTCCAGAGGAAATCTTTTCTAAAACATCATCCTTTGGGCCACATTTACAATAATATGTATCTTGGACATGGAGGGCCAGATATGCCCCAATTGCATCAGTGCAAATCGATTTCTCCGAAAACTGGAGTGCAATTTGGCTCAATACACACTGGAATAGCACATGATAAGCAGACACCTGCACATTTAATAACATCATCTGCATAACAAGTCCCTGATTTCCCCCCTACTCTTGAACGATACACAGAAACTGATACAGTAGTATACAAGGTGTCAAAGAAGAGTGTTCCTTTCGACTGAAAAATGGCAGCTTCCATCTTGCTACACATCATGACATCGTCATCCAAAAATATATAACAAATATCAGACAAATTGCTATTCCATGTGCTCTTCCCTTTGATAATGCAATCTAGCTTCAGTAGTGCTTCCTCTTTCCCAGATGTCCAATTCCAGAGCAGGCAAGGGAGGATGTACTCTTCAGGAGACACAAGATGCCCAGAGACCTTATGCCAGAAAATCATCTTGCTTTCTTTTAAAACTGTCCTGCTCAAAATTACTGCTTACAGTAAGAAGAGCTGGTTTCCTAGAAACTCCCTACCATGTTTTTATGAAGGTGAAATTGGTTCTGCTCTTTGTAAGAAATTGTATTTTCTCCCATCCTGGTTGCTCCTCTTAAAGTGAACGCTGCAAGTTTATAAACAGAAAGTGGAGGGTGGAGGAAATTTCACAGCATACCATACATGTCAAAAGAACGGAGGTGTCATTAGTTTATTGGAACCAGGGGCTTCTCCTCCCTCTTTTTCCAGACATTGGTTTTGCTCTCTCTCTTAGGCACGGGTATCCTTCCCCGCTTTTTGGCTGGAGGAGGGCTGGCCTCCCGCTCTTCTGCCACGGTGTCCTTCTTCTCAGGGATCTCTTCTGCTTGCTGGCCTATAGCAGGATCACTCCCTCCATCCGGCATATGCTTCAATGTCTGATCCTCCGGCGTGCAAACTGTGGTCCCACTTTCACTACTACTCAGATCCAAGTCTTCCAGGTAGAGGACCTTGGAATGCTGTACGCTTTTAATGAATGTTTTCTCTCGCTCCAGTTTCCGACTGAGATTATGTTCATTCATATCCACTCCAGAGTCCAAGCTAGTGTCATTGCTCTCCGTCTTCCTGCCCTTCTTGAGATCAATGAATGAGTGCCTCACTTGAGCTATTGGTTTGCCATCCAGGGACACAAACCATGCTCTCGGGTGCGAAGATGGTTTCCCCTTCGATAGTTCCAGTAAGGTTTGCTCAGATATTCCTTGAAGCTCTGATGAAAATGGAGTCATTACGACAGCTTCATTTAGTGTACCTGGGACAGAAACAGACTCCAGCAAACTATTTGTGTAACGTCCCCAATTTGCAGCCTGAGGAGACAGGCTCTGTTGCCTATCTAATGCAGCTGTCTCATCGCTGGAAGTTGGCACCTGTAGGTGAGAATGCACTGGCATTTTGGGTAATGTCTGAGTGTAGCCTTCCCGACTCAGGGGCTCCATCATTGGACTATAGACTAATTGTCCTTTTCTTGGCAAAGTAGCTGACTTGGTGGCATGCAACTGCTCTGGGGTGTGGAAAAGGTCAGCCGTTTGAAGAATGGCAATGGGCTGACTGTAAATATGCACTAACTGTTCTGGGAGGACCGAAATCCCATACATTTCCCCATTGGTTGGGAGATATAGGTTTGGTTCTTGCATGTCTCCAGAGGGTGACATGCCTCCATTTGTGTGGCTGGCTGGCTGTGAATGCCTCACTGCCATGTTGGGTTCCAAGGAGTGGGGTGTGCTCCTGTGAAGTGTATTCTTGTCGGAGGACTGGAACGAAGAATCTTCGGTGTAGATTTTACAATTATCATGGCCTCTCCTCTCTTCCCCTTCCGCTGACGTCCCTCTCTGGGGGCTGTAAGAGGCTATTCTCGAAGAATAGAACTGAGCTTTGGCCTCCGGTTTCAGTGACACCTTTGCAATCCCAAGGTGGTTCATGTGACTTGTTGATGTTGTCTGATCCTTTCTTAAGATATCCAGTTTAGTGGTGTTTTTCCTTCTCTTTTTTGACCAATGACATTTATCCCTAAAGAAAGAAGGGAAGGGAAAAAGAAATAAAAGAATGCTGAAAGTGTACCACATACATCACTCCAAACTCTGACTAAAGTATAAATGTAATTTTAAATTGTTTTAATAGTGGTTGTTTTATCATTTTATTTAATATTGTTTTATACTCATGTATGGTTTACGTTATTTATTGCACTACAGCGTCTTGTAAGCTGCCAAGTCCCTTTTGGGAGATGGCGGCAGGATATAAATAAAGATTATTATTATTATTATTATTATTATTATTATTATGCAGAATAATCACAGGATGTCTTAAACCTACACCTGTTGATACTAGCTGGCATTGCCCCCCTCCCCCTTGAAGTGCGACAGGAAGTAGCTGCTAAATGTGAGAGAAATAAGGTTGAACACTGTGAAAACCACCCACGACATGGCTACCCGCCTCCTCCCAGGAGACTCAAATCAAGGAAAAGCTTTATGAGAACTACCACTCCTCTTGGCATCCCTCCAGCAACAGCAAGGGTATCCCTCTGGGCAGCTAAACCAGAAATCCCAACTGGTTGGCCTCCCACGAGGTTCCTCCCCCAGGGGCAAACCAAGAATGGGCAACTTGGAAGTCCCTGAACAGATTCAGAAGTGGAGTGGGCAGATCAAAAGACAGCCTGGCAAAATGGCACTACCTAGAAGAATCCCACACCTTGTGTGACTGTGGAGCAGAAGAGACAACTCCGCATTGGTATGCTTGTCCACTATGTCCTGCTTTATGTACAGAGGAAGAATTGTTGGAGGCTACAGACAATGCCATTGCTGTTGCCTGTTTTTGGTCAAAAGATATTTAGCCACCTGCGCGCCTTCTATATTTATCAGTTTTATACTAATTTATGCAATGCTTTTGATACATTATTATTATTATTATTAAATTGAGCTATGTTCATCATAGTATTGTCAGGTAAGAGTTTCCATCTATGCATCTGACATTGCTCATGCTCACTTTGTTATTGCCTGCATTAGCTCTGGCATTCTCTAAATAGAAATGCTTGGAATGAAGTTTATCTTTCTTGACCAGTGCAGTGAATAGGCAGGATTGAAGGCAGTGGCAGGACTTGGCTGATCCTTTGGTCAAAGTTATTGTTTGTTAACTGTTTGCCTTGCTGTTCTGTTTCAGGGCTCATCCTAGGCCCATTCTACACTATAACCCATATTATCAAAGCGGATGGTGAAATAAAGAATCTATTTTGTTTAGGATTTTGCCAAATGGTGTGTGTGTGATACACATCTGCATCTGCTTCTTTTGTTTATGTATCAGATATCTTAATGAACAACATATAAAGGTAATATTTAGAATTATTAAGCATTTTAGGAACATTGTACAAACTGTGGAAGATGACTTTTAGTCTACCACTCAGTTGCTATGGACAATGAAATGTCCAATGAGAAGCCCATAAAGAGGAGATGAGCCCAACAGTACCTTTCAGCTCATGGTTTCCTGCAACTAGTATTGAGAGGTATTTTGCCTATGGTATTACATGTAATGTTAAAGCCTGAGAAAGTTAATTTTAGGATTCCAAAACTCCCACACACAGTATAGCCACTGACCATGCTATCTGTGGATGGTCAGCTTGCACAGTATCATCCAAAAGGTGATCTCTTCAAGCTCTGGGCAACATATATTCATCATGACTAGTCGTCACTGACAGTGTCATCCTCCATGAATTTGCTTGTTGTTATCTTAAAGCTGCTTCCACAGGCTTCTCCTATCTTTTGATGCCTTGCTTTTGGACACCCTGCTCTTTCACCACTTGCAAATTACAGATACATTGCTTTAATTTGACTGTGGCTTTGCTCCTTCACCAGTTCATATTGCATATGAGGCTCACCTGGGACTTTGCATGCACACGTGTGGTCTCTGGGCTTGCCTAAAGAAAGAGCAGACCTCTCCTTGAATCACTTTTGAATATATGGAAGAACTTTTAAAGCTTTCTCACATATTCAAAAGTCCTATACAGTGTATTATTTACATCTTCCAGCAGCCAGAATGCATTCCCCTTTTCAACCAATTCCACTTTTGACAGCACTCTGGTCCCTAACCTATCACATAAGTTAGGGCTTTCTGTACATGTGGGCAGTACATGCAGTTTAAATATGTTTAAAATCAAAACCAAACTGAGTCAAAGAGTGCATCTAAACTGCAGAATAAATGCAGTTTGAAACCACTTTTAACTATCATGGCTCATTGTTATGGAATCATGGGATTTGTAATTTAGTGAGGTACCAGTACATTTTGGCAGAGAAGGCTAAAGACCTTGTTAAACTGCAACTTCAATGATTCCATAGCACTGAGGCAATGGCAGTTAATGTGGTGTCAAACTGCATTAATCCTCCCGGGTAGGTGTACCCTAAGACTCCAGTCATTTAGAGTCAAACACAATCCCTCACTTCTGCCATAACTGCACCTCAGTGCTCGCTTACCTGCAGTAGCAAAGGAGAACAGTAAAGAACCCAATGATTATGACAACGGTGCCTCCTAATATGGCTGTGAGGAAAACTGTGTGGTATGCAGTTATATCCTGGGCAACTGTGTTCATAATGGAGCCTGTATTTGGGGAAGAAAGAGAAGGACAAAGTATATCATTGTACAAAGAACTGATATATTCACATCGCTGATATGGATGATGATGATGATGATGATGATGTCTTAACATATTTTGTCCAGGCATTTTTGAGAGATCCAGGCATTTTTGAGAGATCTCTAATAAAGATATGAGTGAAGTCATATCACATTGTCTTCCCCCTGATGTTGCCCAGATGGCATCACCTCACCTCTCATCCTGGCATCCATTGTACAGCATGATGTGAGAAGGGGCTACTAGGTAAGCCATAGGTTTACATGTCATATGTCTTTTCCATCCAGATATTCTTGCAGAATGTGATGACACCAAGAATGGAGAGACAATATGTGCATGATGCTAGGGGGAGAGTTTTACATTATGATCTTACTTCCTTGCTTAACTAAGTCATTTTGACTATGTCTGAGCTGGGCCTCCATTATTATATTTCAGAAAGAGTGGACAAAAATGCTTGGTGACTATATGGCTGAAGTAAACATCAGATAGATAGATAGATAGATAGATAGATAGATAGATAGATAGATAGATAGATAAATAGATAGACAGACAGACAGATAGATAGACAGACACATGCATATACACAGACGCATATATATATATATACACAGAGAGAGAGAGACAGAGAGGAGAGAGAGAGAGATGATCACAGTTTATATGTGTCCCAGAAACTGTTTAATATTACAGATTTAAGAAAACCGATATCCTCTACCTGTTGTACAGGTAGTCCACAACTTACAAACAAGATAGGTTCTGCAGGTTTGTTCTTGTTGAATTTGTATGTAAATCAGAACAGGTACATATACAGGAACAGAGAGGAGGGGGGATGCAAGCTTTGGGCAGCATAGGGAAGGGTTAACAACCCTGTGGTGTTTATTTTGCTGTCTGTGCCCCTGTTCCGAAGATTTCATTTTACTTTCTGTCCCTGTGATAATTGGATTTTGAAAAATGTGGCTTCTTGTAGAAACAAGGATTGGTGAGAATGCTTCAGTGGAGACACCTTTTCTCCATGGTAACTTTTTCAGAGGGTGAATTTCCCTTCCTAGGGGTAGATTTCTCTCATTCCTGTTGCTTCATCCCTGTTCTTAACTATGAGTCATTTGTAAGTCAGAGGTTTGCAACTCGGGGACTATCTGTACTTTGAACATATCATGAGTCCCATTAAAATAGATAATAATGCTTGGTAAGGTGGAACACAATGGGGGGGGGAGGGGGGGAGAAGAGCACAGAACAAATTGACTAATTTAACAAAAGAAGAACATCCCTATATTTGTAAGACCTGGATGGGGCTGTCAATGACAAGAGGTTTTGGATGTCCCTCATTTGTAAGGTCACCAAAAGTCTACGGTCACTCAATAGCAAATAACACCACAACACTTATACATACTAGGTGCCCTTCCAGACAGGCCCTATATTCCAGGATCTGATCCCATGTTTTCTGTTTATCCCAAATTATCTGTCAGTGCAGACTCATAAAATCCACTTTAAAGTAGAAAACCTGAGATCAGATTCTGGGAAATAGGACCTGTCTGGAAGGGCCCTAAGTTCACTTGATAGAAAATAACAACAAATTCTGTTGGTTGATTTCCATGAACATCATTAATATAGAAGAACAAATGCTTGTTCTTTTTCAGAAAGCAATCTAATCAGAAATAGGCTACATTCCAAACCTGGTGGTAGTATGTAATAGATAAAAGAATTTACAAAGTTTAGTGAAATAGAAGTGATATGTGTTTACACATAAAATATGGCACAATATGTGACACAACCGGATTTCCCCTCCCCGTACGAGGTAGCTGCTCATAAAAGAATGTACACAGGAACAATATCAGAGCAAAGATGTTATTTCTTTCTTCTTGATTAATCCTATTCATGCTCCTACTGGTGAAAACAAACTTTCAAGGGAAGTGAAATACTGTGAGATTCCATTTTATCACCAAAATGACAAAAATGAACAGATAATTGGGGCTGAAAATTGAGAGTGAGCTGTTCTTCCCAATCCTCTTCTACAAATCTCAACAGTGCCCTACAAACAACAGCAACCAAAGGACATTAAAAATCAGTTCGTGATTAGTTTGTGAATCAGTTTGTGAATAGCTCACCTCTGGCTCCAGGCAAAGGAGCTGCTATCCAGTAGCCCAGGCTCAGAGCTGTGTATGTCCATACAAGATGATCACCGGCATCCCTTACCATGCCTAAGCCACGGTTTATCCAAGCACCTGAGAGAGGGGGAAAAAAACAAACATTGCATGATAGACCTCTTCTGTGTGGCTACTGGTAATATGCATTCAGGGCTTACCTTCATCCGTTTTGTGTCCTGGTATCGGGGGCCCAATCCGTTTTGTCTGAGTCTCCCAAAATCGGGAGGTCAGATATTTGTATTCTGTTTTCAGGACCAAAAGATTTGTTTTCTTTCGGCTCATTACTGGGGAGGGGGGGGCCTTCACTTGTAGCGCTCCTTACTCAGCGTTTGGCTGCAGGCCCTGCCAAACCCAGGTGCGTAGGCCCAAAGCAACGGGGTGCCTGCAGCCGAGTGCTGAGTGAGGAGCGCTCCTTACTTGTTGCTCGGCTGCAAGCTCTGTGAGACCTAGGCATGTAGGCCCAATGCCTGCACCTGTAGGCCCAAARCACCCAGGCCTACRGGTGCATGCTTTGGACCTATGTGTCCAGGTCTGGCAGGGCCTGCAGTTGAGCACCTAGTAAGGAGTGCTCCTTACTAGGTGCTCAGCTGCAGGCCCTGCTAAACCCAGGTGTGTAGGCYCAAAGTGCCGTGGTGTCTGCAGCCAAGCGCCAAGTAAGGACCACTCTTTACTTGGCACTCAGCTGCAGGTCCTGCCAAACCCAGGTGTGTAGACCCAAAGCACTGCAGTGCCTGCAGCCAAGCGCCAAATAAGGACCACTCTTTACTYGGCACTCAGCTGCAGGCCCTGCCAAACCCRGGTGTGTAGGCCCTAAGCGCCGTGGTGCCTGCAGCCAAACACCAAATAAGGACCGCTCCTTACTCGGCACTCAGCTGCAGGCCCTGCCAAACATGGGTATGTAGGCCCAAAGTGCTGCGGTGCCTGCAGCCAAGCGCCAAATAAGGGCCACTCTTACTCGGCACTCAGCTGCAGGCCCTGCCAAACCCAGGTGTGTAGGCCCAAAGTGCTGCRGTGCCTGCAGCCAAGCACCAAGTATTTATTTATTTATTTATTTATTTGGGGTGCTTCTACCCCACCCTTCTCAACCCCCTAGRGGGGACTCAGGGCGGCTTACAAAAGGCACAATTCAATGCCTAACAATTACAACATGCAATACAATATACAATACACAAATTTACCACACAATATCACAGTTATAACTAATTAAAACCACCAAGTAAAAAGCGCTCCTTACTTGGCGCTCAGCTGCAGGCCCAGCTAGGCACCGGTACTTTGGGCCTACGCATGCAGCAATTGATTCAAAAAGCAGGCTTGGATTCGGTACCCACTCCCATCTGCCTTTCATTTCAAGTCTGTTTTCATTCCAGGAGGGGCCTTCCCTTCTGTGCCATCATAATGGACAGAACAAAATGAATCGGACACATAAATCAAACGGATGGGACAAATTTCGGCTCCATGACTAGTGGCTATTCTGCTTGACTGGGTTTGCCCAGCATTCTGCTTTTTCTTAGTTCTTGCCTCAGGGTTTCTCAGATGTATTCAAGGCAAGAGAATGACCAAAGAGACAGTGGGAATGCTGTTCAATAAGGCTGGCAAAACGCTAACAGATTACATTGAAAAGATAGAACTGCTCAATACCTATTTTGCTCTACTGATCCACCCCAAAAAACCCAAGCGTTCCATGAAGCTGCAGAGACCTTGGCAAAGGATCTGGATTGCAAATCAAGATTGATATGGACTCACTTAGCAACCCTAAATGAACTCAGATCTGCAGAGCCAGATGAATTACATCCGAAAGTACTGAAAGAGCATGTCAGTGTGCTTCTCCGAACCTCTTGCCATCATTTTTGAGAAATATTGGGGAACAGGTGAGGTGCCAAAGCATTGGACGGCAAATGCTATCCTGTTTCCTAAAAGATCCAGGAAACTATAAACCAGTCACCCTGATCTCAATGTCAGGAAAATCCAATTTAATTCACAGGTTTATTCACATAGCACAACAATCCTGTGTGTATGTATAGGGGACGTTTTAGGCTGCAGTTCTATTGTCACTTATCTGAGTGTAGGTCACAGTGAATTTAATAGGTTTTCTAATAAGACGCCCACCCCTGTATTTGGACAATCTTCCCACCCTAGTCTCCAGGCATTTTAAATATCTCCCATCATCCTCCGCCAATATGCCCACATTTTGGGGGGGGGGCATAGTTCAGCACACTTGGGGTTGGGGGGAGAATGTTGTACAAGATTACACTCTCAGGAGGATTTTCGTTCCTTTGAAACAAGCTGCCTTCAGTGAAGTTTTCTTCTGGTCCAGGCCATATTTTATTTATTTCATATCAAAAGCATTGTATAAATTAGTATAAAAGTGATAAAATAGAAGAAGCACAGGTGGCTAAATATCTTTTGACCAAAAACGGGCAACAGCAAAGGCATTGTCTGTAGCCTGCGGCAATTCTTTCTCTGTACATGGCCAGGCCATGACACTGTCTTGTTGCTAAGAGGACATCTTACCACGATTGTGCTAATAATTCAAGAGAGAGAACACCTACCAGTTTTCATGTCAAAGGTCCATGCTGGGATACGATCCCCCACTTTTGCAGCACTTGTAGGCAGAAGAGGCAACATGATATGAATGGGTCCATCCACATTCAGTTCTTTCCCAGCAGAAAATAAGTTTACACATATTGCAGCAAGTGGAGTCAATTCAACACTCTTGAAACCTAAAAGGGTTAAAAAAAAGGTGATAATTTTGCTTTCTTTAGTCAAAAGTGATGATGCAAAGACATAATATTTCTGGAATAGCTTGACAGCATTCTTCCTACCGTAATTCATATAGAGTTGGCCATCCAGATTTGTTATTCATGTTTAATTATCCACAGATTGAAAATATTTTTGTAAAAATCCAAAATGCAAACCTTGAATTTGGCATTTTATACAGGGAACACTATTTTACCATGCCATATATATAAATAAAAATGCAATGTTTATTTGTGGAATTAACATAACTCAAAAACCACTGGTTGAATTGATACCAAATTTAGACATAATACACTTATCAGGCCAATGAGTGACCATCACTCATAAAAAATACTGAAAAACACAGCAGAAGAGACTTAAAAAGCCAAAAAGTCAAAATTACAATGCATGCGCAAAACCATATATATATATATTCTGGCGTATAAGACTACTTTTTAACCCAAGAAAATCTCCTCAAAAGTCAGGGGTCGTCTTATACACGAATGTAGTCTTATGCATGGGAGTCGTCTTAACTCTATATTTTAACTGGAAAAGTTGGAGGTCGTCTTATACGCCCAGTCGCCTTATATGCCGGAATATACGGTGTGTGTGTGTATATATATATATATATATATATACACACACACACACACACACACACACACACACACACACATACACACACAAACATGCATATATACACAAATATATACACACACAAAACACATATACACAGACTGGACCACAGCAGCATGCGGCAGGGGACGGCTAGTTGTATATAATGGGACTTGTGCATCCACAAAATTTAGTATCCATTGGGAATCCTGGAACCAAACCCAAGTGGATACCAAGGAACTATTCTGTGTGTGTATGTTTTTGTATACGCATACATATACACATATTCATACGCACACATACATACACACATATACACATGTATAACACTTTCATACTCCTATGGGCTATAGTTAAGCTACCGAACCAGAGAAAACCCAATTTTTCCAGATTTGAGAAAATAGCTCATTGCAGAGATATGAATAGCTATTGCCAACTGCCTGCTTATTTGTTTACAATTTAAGTGAATGACAAATGCATGTAGATATCAGTACATACAACTATTTCCAAAAGAAATTGGTTTGCTTACTGATAACAAAAAATCAGTAAACAAAGTCCTTCATTACTAGAACTAACATATCCGACATGCTGTCGAAGGCAACACATCTTAAAATCCATTTTCTAAGGAATAATAATTTCCCTGATCTGGGTCAATGTCAATAGTGGAGGCAATGCAGCAGTGAACCACTAGATGGTGATACAAGGCATCAAAACATGCACCTAAAATTCATCTTGTTAATAATTAATTAGCAGAAGATGTAAAAACATAATTTAAAATCCAATGGCATAGTGCAGATAAATTTAGGTGAAAAGAAAGCTGCTGTATGGAAAACAACTGATCCAATTAACTCAGTAACATACACTGAGGGACAGTGTAAAAAGTATTTTAAAGTGCATTTGGTTGGATAAAACAGGATAAACACTATACAAAATAGAAACCAGAATGGCAGCTGTTTTACTCTACTTGTACTTTAACACACATCATAAAATAGGTTCATAATCAGGGGTACAGTGAACAAGATTCAGGAATGAATTCAGCAGGGAGGATATTCAAATTTATGCTTGTTATTGTGTGCCTTCACGTTGTTTCAGACTCGTTCCTAGGACTGAGAGCGTGTGACACATCCAAGGTTACCAACTGGGTTTTTCATGGCCAAGCGGGGATCCAGACTCTGGTCTCCAGTGGTAGTCCAGCACTCAAACCACTACACCATGCTGGGTCTTCAGGGTTAAAGCTACAAGCTAAAGCTACAAGCATGGACTATTAACTTGGCAAGGTTGCATGTATCAGGTAGCATGTAGCCACATTTTATTTATTCAAAAGTAGGTATGTGAGAGACCCAGTTGGGGCCCATCTACACTGTCTTATAATCTAGTTTCTGAATCCAGATTATCTGTTTTGGATTGGATTATATGACAAGTGACTCATATAATCAAGTTCAAAGCAAATCACCTGAATTCAGAAACTGGATTACATGGCACTGCAGATCTAGCCTGGGTCTCATCTCACATGGGACTCGAAACTGGTCCCACAACTGACTCCCTGCTTCCTCAAATCACCTTCTCAAATGTAATGGTCATGAAGGAGGTGGAAATTTCACTAGTCCTTATAATGCTTTTCATATTAAACTATTTTAACTGGTACTTTAACAGTGAAATTGCATATATATATATATATATATATATATATATATATATATATATATATACACACACACACACACACACACACACACACACACACACACACACACACACTCTTAATTTATATTTTAATATATTATTTATGCTGAAAGTATTGGAACTTTCAAAATTACATATATATATATTTTACATTCCAGTCATTGGGGAAAGACAAGATATAAATGAAACGAAATACATAATATCTGCACAAACAATATATAAATGTAATGTAATGTTCATTTGTGGGATTAACATAACTCAAAAACCACTGGACGAATTGACACCAAATTTGGACACAATACACCTATCAGGCCAACAAGTGACCATCACTCATAAAAACACTGAAAAACTTAGCGAAAGGGCCTTAAAAAGCTAAAACACACACACACATATATATACACAAGCACACATATATATATACACAAAACACATATATACACACATATATATGCAAAACCACATATATATACACAAGCACACATATATACACCTACACACAAATATATATACACACATATACACACACAATGCACATATACACAGAATGGGCCACAGCAACGTGTGGCAGGGGACGGCTAGTGTATGTATGTGTATATGTGTGTGTGTGTGTGTGTGTATCCTGACTTCTACATTTAAAACCATGCAGACTGATCATTGTACACTATAACATTTGTTCTGTTCTTTTTCTAGAAGCTTGAAACACTTATGCAAATAGTTAATTCTTAATACAACTTGCAGACATAGCCATATAACCCAGAATATCAAGGCAGAAAATCCCACAATATCTGCTTTGAGCTAGGTTATTTGTGTCCACACTGCCATATATTCCAGTTCAAAGCAGATAATGTGATGATTTATTCAGCTGTGTAGAAGGGGCCTGGCAGAGAGAGAGAGAGAGAGAGAGAAGAGGAAGAAGAAGAGGAAGAAGAAGTGGAACAAAAGAAGCTACCAAGAAAAGGATAGAAACAAAATAATGAAATATCTTAAATTCTTCATCAGATCGTCAAACAGTGAGCTGTGGGTCATAAGAAATCCGTCAAATGCCATATATCAATTAGCTTCCACCTGCCCCTAGGATAGAACCTGTTTTCGGAAGACGGCATAAATAATGTAAAAGATCACATCAGAGAGATTTCAGGGGAGTCTAGGAGAAAATAGAAGCTGCTTTGTTGGCTCATTTTTCAAATGCAAAAGGTGTACACATACATTATTCATCCCTGTGTCTCAGTATGTTCAAATGCCTTCTTGTCCATGGGAGAGACGGGAAAAATTGGCTGATCATATTTGAGCAAACCTAGCTACCCCATTCTAATAGGCAACACGAATGCATATTTAGTGAACATACGACTGCTGCTCATTAATTAATGAATTCTTTGGAAACCACATGCAGGGTGATTTAAGAAATGAGAGAAAGATTTGAATTTTTTATGAGGACAGCATGGATATAAAATAGAGTGTTCTATATTGGGATTATATCTCCTTCTTAACATCCTTTATTAGGGCTCTTAAATTTTTAAGAATCTGTACAATGGACTTACAGGTAAGCAAAAGGGAATCCCTGAAATTGTGTGGTTAAAGACCAAGCACAGAGAAAACAAGACAGAGACATATTTTTTCATATGAAGTTGGAGCTCTTAAGTATCTCTGGCCCCTTCTACACTGCCATATAAAATCCAAATGGTCTACTTTGAAATGGATTATATAGCAGTATAGACTCACATAATCCAGTTGTTGCTGGCTATAAAATTGGCCCTCTACATTTGTGTGTTTAACTTTTGCAGCTTTAATTATTCTGGGATTTCGATTCAAATGGATCTCTCCAGGAATCTCTATGTCCTCCAGCATGATGCTATGGTCAACTTCCCCTGGAAATTGACCATCAAGTTGCACTAGAGAACCTAGGAATTCTTAGGGTGCATGCACACTGTAGAATGAATGCAGTTTGATACCATTTTAACTGCCATGACTGAATGTTATGGAATCCTGGGAACTCTAGATTGGTGAGGCATCAACACTCTTGGGCAGAGAAGATCTTGCTAAATGACAATTCTCATGATTCCATAGTGTTGAGCCATGGCAGTGCAAGTGGGCATTAAACTGCATTAACTCTACAGTGTAGATCCACCCCCTAGATGAAAACATAATATTCTACAACATCCTACTACTTTCGTGGGAGTCTTGCACCCTGAACCCCAGTGAATGTGGAGGACTGGCTATATTTCTGAGGAAGGAACTGGCCAAACCACTTCTGAGGGCACATCCAGACAGCACCTAAAGTGCATGCCCTCCCACGTTTTTCCATGGGGCATCCATGTAAAGGAGACTGAATTCGGCACTAAGCAAGAAACCCTGTTTTGTGCCAAGGTAATTTTTCAGCGAGAGAGATGCAAATCTTCTTTAAAGACCCACATCTTTCCCATTGTAGGAAGAGTCTGGACTGCCCCCTCAGAAGTACTGAGACTTCTGAGGGGGCTGTCCTCACAGCCCTCTCATGTTTTATGGCCTCCATGAGGCCAGAATATCCAAGAAGCTCGAACATCCTCCCCAAACTCCCCAGAAAAGTGTTTTAAAAATAAAATAACTTACCTGGCTCCCATTAAAGTGCTGCCGGAGCTCTCCTAGCATGAAGGAATGATATGCCAGGAGAAGGGGGGCAGGAAGAAAATCACTCCCCCACCTTCTCCTGGCCCATCATTCCTATGTTCCAGGAGAGCTCTGGCAACACTTTAATGGGAGACATGTAAGTTATTTTCTTTTTTAAACTCTTTTTAAGGGGTTTTGGGAGTGAGTGGGGGGTTGCCCCACTGTCCTCCTGGAAGGTACTGAGAGGTCTTCTGCATGCACTTTCTGGGGAGGAGTGGACTAGAACCCAGAAGCAATCTTGTTTAATCAACGTGAATGCTCCCAGGTTAAATGGCTGTATGGCACCACCCTGAGTATCCTTTGCCTAAGAAACCCTATGAACTTCATGGAGTCAACGTAACTCAACAGGTGTCTTGAAGGCACACACACACATGTACAAGATCAAATCATTGCAGTTCCAGGTATGGGTTGCTGTCTCGTTTCTTTTTAAAGTTGTTTAATTGTTTGCATGTTGGACTACAACTCCAAAAGACTAGGAATTGAATCCCTGCTTAGCCATGGAAACTCACCTTTGGCAGGTTACACTTTCCCAGCTTCAGAGGAAAGCAAAGGCAAACCCTCTCTAAATACTTTTTTGCCTTGGAAACTCCATGGTAAGTTCACATTAGGATTACCGTATGTTAAAAATGAGATGGCATGCAGCAAAAGCATAAATACCAAAATCATCAACAACAAATATGTGAAATGTGTTAGCCACAGGTGTACCAATGTGGTACAGTGCCATAAGAGTAACAAGAGATCTTTCATCACTCATCTCCCTATTACATTTCAAGCTTTCCACAGTAAGGGAGAGCTTGAAATTATTACATTTCAAGCCCTCTGCATCATGATTGCACGTTAAAGAGTTTGATTCAGGAGACGGTGGCAAATCTGACATACCTGACTTATTTGAAAGGATTCCTATTGTATAGAGAAAATGGTCCACTTTTAAAAATTGGTGTGGCACTGTCAAGTAGGCTGTTATATTTGTGATATGGTGGGTGATGGGAAGCTTAATCAGATATTTTGGAAACTGAACACTTGGTTGAGATTTGGCATCTGAAAGAGAGAAAGAATGGCAAGTCAGCAATTTTGGTTGGCAACAGCATCTAAACAACTCATGTTCAAAGAATAAACATTTGGGTCTTCCACTTATCAAGCATGCAAATTTGCAAGTGATTTAAATGGTTAATTCTCTGGGTTGGGCTGACGTTTTGAAGTATAATGATCTAAAAGATGATGAGTTCATTCAAGGGAGCTGTGTGTGAGCTTTGTGACTATAAACCTGAAAAGGCACACATAATAATAAAATGGTAATTAGCAACTCATCAGAGCAGTCTACAATATTCTAAATCATTAAAAAAAAGGCAGTGTATAAAAACTAATTGGAATCTCTAGGTTGCATCATGAAACATAGCTAAATATATAGCTAGGACAGCCTCCCATTAAAGTTCCCATCCCCAAAAGCAAGCTTTGCTCTGTTGCAGCTCCCTGAACCCAAACATTTTCAGTGATATGATTGCTCTATATCCTGTTACACCAATGGTTTCCAACTTGTGGTCCATGGCCCACCAGTGGTTCCCAAGAACTAAAATATGGTCCAGCGCCTCACAGTTACTACACCGTTGCAACGAGAGCAATTGGTCTTGCAAAACCCTCTTATAGTGCCAAGGCAATAGGGGTGTCAGGAGGCGAGACGCTGACTACCCACAAAAGGCACAACAACAAGTCTCCTGACTGCTGCTTCTCCTCCTCCCTCCCTCCTCCTGAGCGGAGCCATTCCATGTGGCACCTGGAAGCAGGGGTGCCTTGCTGTCTTCATTTTTAGGCCTGTTCCTGGAGCTATTTGGGTTGCTGATTCAGAAAATTGCATTGGATAGACCACATCAGCTCTAGATTATTAAATATGGTTTTCTGTGGGCGAGCAGATGGTGACTACTGGATAGCATATGTTTTTTATCAGAAACAAGAGCTGATGTGGTCTATCCAATGCAATTTTCTGCATCAGCACTCCAAATAACCAAACCTAAAGTTGATGAAAAACTGATGGATAACCCTTTTGGTATTAATGTTGGACAGTGGTCCCTGGTCAAAGTGGTTGCTGGTCAACTGGTTGATGGTCAAAGTGGTCCCTGATCTAAGTGGTCCCTGGTAAAAAAAAAAAGGTTGGGAACCACTGCATTTTAGGATCAATAAAAAGTGAGTTATGATAGTGTCTACAACCAGATCTTATTATATACACAGCCAGGATGCAAATCTTCCCTAAGTTTAATAACAAGATCTGACTGCTTTTTGTGAGTGATTTATTCATATAAGAATGCTTTTTTATTTATTCATGAATAAACAGATAAATACATCTCAAACATAATTAAACCCATTCTGATATGTAACCTACCCATATTAGTAACACACATCATCAGGGGAAAAGTTTTATAATAACATTTTTGTTTGCTTGCCACTATTACTTACCAGAAAGTTTCCCAGTAATTAAAATTGTATCATCAAACAGCCATATATTTGCCTGGCTTTGGGGAAACAGTGAAAGTGTGACTGATGAATATACTGCAAGAAACAAAACAAATATATTACTACATAAGGCACGTATTGTACAAAAAAAAAACTAGTGAAAAGATGAGAGTCCTGAAAAGGCATAATCATTTTATTTGAGAAAAAAATTGATTGTATAGATTTGGGTTAATGATAATAATACTTCATTTTAACCTGCCCTCTCTCCCTGAGGGGATTTAAGGCTGCTTCCAAAGTAAAATGGCAAACATTCAATGCCCATACAATCATTCTATTTGCTCAATAACTTTCTGAAGCATTTCATATGTATTAAAATACCACCAAAATAAAGGTCCAAAATGTCAAAGGCTCCTATAGTACTATGTATTTAAGAAAATTATTTGAGTCAACTTCAGATTTTAGGCGTCTGGAAATGCTATCACTCCATGCTTAAAAATTACCACAGTTTCTTTCCACTTCTCAATATATTGAGAGTTTTCCCCAAACATTTCACAATTTAACCAGAGTATTTAATGATCCCTTGCTTGACCAAACCAACATGGGGGAGAAGGTTTAAATGAACTACAGTTCTCCAATTCAAACGTAAACTGTAATTAGTTTAAAGCCAGAACTGGGTGCTTCTGAACTTATTAAAAGAGAAGCAAATGACATATATAGTTTTGAACTACCCATATTCCTTTTTTAATCAAATTAGTTGGAGCAGATGAGATCTCAAGTTGAAAACGTCTTGAGAGCACCAGGTCGGGAAATTTAAAAATATTGACTGAAGTCAATATGGTTGTTCTGACTAGAGTTGAGCCTCCGAATCAATAAAATTTACTTCTGTGTTGGTTCATTATTCAACAACTGATTGAATAAGTCTACTGGAGCTGGGATTAACCACAGAATTCTAACCCAGTGTTCAGAACACAAAACAAGCAAACTTTGGGCATTTCTACACTACCATTCAATGTAGTGTTCATGTTGGGGCAGGGGAGGTTGCATCAACCTACACTTAATGCAGCTGCACACTGGCTTAGAAAAGCACAAGGAAAGGTCTGAATCTTGCATTCCATTCAGACCTTCACCACAGCAATCACGTGCTCCTCAGATTTAGGCAGTCTGAGGAGATGGGGAGGAATGTCCCTCCTACCCTTTAGCATCCCAACTCCTTTCAAAAGACAGAAAATCATCATTTATCAGAGCTCAGAACTATTTACTTCCTGGCTGCTGCCATGTGACTGAGCAAGGCAGCTTGAAAGGAGTGGGAAGGGGTTGGCTCCTCTCAAGCTGCCTTGCTCAGTCACATAGCAGAAACGAGGAAGTAAACAACCTTGAGATCCAATAAGTGCCAATTATTGGAGGGTTTTGTGGGGCTGGGGGAAGGATCCTGCCCAATCTCAGCCATATCAAACTAGCTTTGGCACAGCTGGGCTGTGGGGCTGATGATCTGCCACAGAGGTTGCTGACAGCAGCCCTGCCTGGCCATAATATGACTCCAAACTGGCGTATTTCATAACAGTTCAGGGCCACATGTTGTGCCTGGATAGAACTGCCCATCGTTTCTGTTATATATATTTTCAAAAATAGACAATAATTAACAAAATAATAAAAAAATAGTTTTTTTATAAAAAAAGTTACAAGCAAAAGTCCAGGAGGAGACCTGTAACTTTCCTGTTTTATCTTGAAAAATGCATGCTGAGATAAAATGTTACTCACTCTCATTTTAGCTTTTATGACTGCTGAACACATTTTCAGCCTTTAATATAACCTGCATATACTCAGTGAAGATTTTCAATTATTAAAAATTTAATGGATTTGTTTGAATCCATTTTTATATGAGTTCTAAGACAATGACATTTACCGTTGCATCCAGACATGACCTACTTTGGATGACTGTATTAAGTAGCATTCATTTGATGACAATTAGATAGATTACCCAAGGGAGAAAAGTTCAAATACATTCCATTTAAAAATAGGCTTTTGAAAAGGGATTACGTACTTGGTATTCTCCCAGTCTTCCAAGGCAGAGGCGTTAGCATATAACCATCTTTATAAGACACAATTGTTAAGCTCAGGCCTAGCTGATAAGGAACTCGTATCAATACTGCTCCATTATTTCCAGTGAATGTTGAATTCGTTTTGGTGTAGTTGACAAAAATTTCCACAACTGCTTGCCGTAGATACTGATGACTGATTATGTCATTGACTTGCACCTTCAGTGTAAATGTAGATCCTGAATAAAAGCAAAAAAAAAAAGCCTAGATTATAATGACATTATATATACTTTCAAAAAAGCAAGTCTCTATTTTGGTATTATTAGTTGCCATTCTGGGTTTCTGAAAAAAAAGAAGACACAGCTCATACACTACAAGACTATGGATGAACATGCACATATCTCTCCATTCCACAACACATCTCCTCTGACTAGTGCACTGTCACACACCATAAACCAGTTTCTTTCCCAGTCTGAAATTCATGTTTGTCAAATGAGTAAGCATTCTATTTGACAAGTGTTACAGTTAAAATGTGTAAGTTTACCATTAAACTTTGAAGACAACCTCACCGATCATTCTGGTTGAGCAAAATGGAACCTTTCTCTATCCAGAACATCTAGGGATCAATGGGTTGGAGATCATTAGTTTGGACAATTCATGTGCCAGATTCAAAGATGTTGATCATGAAGGGCCTATGTTCTTTAAATTCTTAATGAAAAGAGATGTTTCTGCTCGCCCTGGACACGTATTGTGACAATCTTTCCGATGTTGGTTTGGAAAAAAGTCCGCAAATCTTTTCTCTAGCAGGATTTTCTCAGTAAAAATATTCCACTCAACTGTATTTGCCACTGGCTGCAACTTCTAATACTGTAGCTTTTATATGGACATTTTGTTATAGTAAAAGTAGCTGCTTCAAATAGGTTAGATTGTGCCATAAACTTGCATGACATCTGCTCACTAGCAAATTCTTGGACAAGGAAAGAAGGACAGCAAGAGAAAGGGAGGGTAGGTTGATTCTCTCCAGAAATTCAAGCCTACTTTAAAAGACTGGAGGGGTTTGTAATGAATTGACAGTGATTTAGGGGAGATGTAGTTCACCTACATCTGGAGAGGTTTGAAGGCCTGCATACAGATCAAAGAACCCAGAAGAGAAGAAAAAGGAAACTCTAAACAACAGGATAAATAATGGAATGTTTCATTTTCCTTTTTGTTTCAATTTAACAGGAAAGAAAGTTGGCAAGTGCTAAAGCAGCGTTTCTCAACCTGGGGGTCAGGACCCCTGGGGGGTCGCAAGGGGGTTTCAGAGAGGTCATCAAAGCCCATCAGAAACATCTTAGGAATCCTTTGGCATAGTTGTTTGGGTTCACAGTGCTCTCTAGATGTAGGTGAACTACATCTCCCCTAAATCACTGTCAATTCATTCACACAGTATTTTCTGCTGGTCATGGGAGTTCTGTGTGGGAAGTCTGGCCCAATTCTATTGTTGGTGGGGTTCAGAATGCTCTTTGATTGTAGGTGAACTATAAATCCCAGCAACTACAACTCCCAAATGTCAAGGTCTATTTCCCACAAAATCCACCATTTTTCACATTTGGGCATATTGAGTATTCATGCCAAGTTTGGTCCAGATCTATCATTGTTTGAGTCACAGTGCTCTCTGGATGTAGGCGAACTACAACTCCAAAACTCAAGGTCAATGCCCACCAAACCCTTCAAGTATTTTCTGTTGGTCATGGGTGTTCTGTGTGCCAAGTTTGGTTCAATTTCATCATTGGTGGAGTTCAGAATGCGCTTTGATTGTAGGTTAACTATGAATTCCAGCAAATACAACTCCCAATGGCAAAAACAATCCCCACATCAAACCCCACCATTATTCAAATTTGGACGTATCAGGTATTTGTGCCAAATTTGGTCCAGTTAATTAAAATACATCCAGCATATCAGATATTTACGTGACAAAATTACAGGAACAAAATTACAGTTATGAAGTACCAACTAAAATAATGTTATGGTTGGGGTCACCACAACATGAAGAACTGTATTAAGGGGTTTCGGCATTAGGGAGATTGAGAACCACTGTGCTAAAGGATAAACTCAAAAAAGGAGACGGTTTTGTATGTACCCATCTGCTCTTGTTGTTGTTGTTGTTGTTTAGCTACCTTTCCATATGGATTGACGCAGGGAACAACAACATATTAAAATACATCTTATGCAATCATTTAAAAAACAGTTCAAAATCAATTAAAACAAACATCAGTTTAAAAGAGCACATACATTCAATACATATTTTTAAAACCACAGATAATTTAAAATTCATTATTTAAAAATTGTATTAAATATATATATCCACTGTATTCCATTTGTAAAGAAACAGCTGAAAATTACAGAGATGCTGTCCTTCAAATACACCAAGTGGGAATTTTTTAAAAAAATAAGGATTTGGAACTGTGATTTATTTCTTGCAGCTTCACACAGTTGGCAGATTTTCACTGCAACAGTCACACAAAACACATTATGTTTCCTTCCATATCCAAGAACACTTCGAGTTTTACTCAGCGCATTTCCAGCTGGCTGGAAGCACACATAGGTAGGTGTGGAAGGCCTTTTTATACATCTCATCCCCCTGATCCCACAAAAACTCAGAGTCAATGCTTCACTAATACCGAAGCCATGCAATGCATCATTATTCCAAAGGATCTCTCAAGAACACATGGGGTTGGGAGAGAAAGAAAAATTTGCTTCCTTTTCTACTGCACCAATGGACAAAGCTCCAGTGGATCAGACCTTCCACCTGAAGGGGTCAGAAAGAGCAATTCTGAATCGATACAAAATTATGTCCAAGAGGAAAACAAATGAGATTACAAGACTGTCAGATTTGGCACATTTAACACATTTATATTTTGGCTAAGGTTTGTTTGGAGTTAACTTGAACTCAAGCAACCATGAAAAATATAAGAAATAAAAATTAAAATACATGTGTATTAGTAAAATAGGATTACATAAAGTTGTCTTTGTTGGCTTTCAATTACTATATTTCAGTATTACTACCAAGTCAAGTCAGAATAGTATAATAATAATAATAATAATAATAATAATAATAATGCTTTATTTATACCCCGCTACCATCTCCCAAGGGATTCAATGCGGCTTACATGAGGCCGAGCCCACAATACATCAATACAAGCAATAGCAATTACAAAACAAAACAAAATACTAATACTAATACAAAGCAATTAAAATAAATCTCATACAAAAAATAGCATAAACATTGAACAGTGGCACAAAATACATTTAAAAACTATGGCTGGGCCAAATGTAATTAAGTTAAAAATAATGCTGGGCATGAACAAGGTAGAGGAGGTGGGGCATTGGGGAAACGTACAAGCAGACCTAAATCAGTATAAAGTTCTTTTGGAGGACATAATGCTAAGGGTTCATTATTCTGGGAAGGCACATAATGTGGTGGTGCAGTGGGTTAAACTGCTGAGCTGCTGACCAAAAGGTTGGCGGTTCAAATCTGGTGAGCAGGGTAAGCTCCCACTGTTAGCCACAGCTTCTACCAACCTTGTTCATTCGTTCAGTCGTCTCCGACTCTTCGTGACCTCATGGACCAGCCCACGCCAGAGCTCCCTGTCGGCCGTTACCACCCCCAGCTCCTTCAAGGTCAATCCAGTCACTTCAAGGATGCCATCCATCCATCTTGCCCTTGGTCGGCCCCTCTTCCTTTTGCCTTCCACTTTCCCCAGCATAATTGTCTTCTCTAGGCTTTCCTGTCTCCTCATGATGTGGCCAAAGTACTTCAACTTTGTCTCTAGTATCTTTCCCTCCAATTAGCAGTCGGGCTTTATTTCCTGGAGGATGGACTGGTTGGATCTTCTCGCAGTCCAAGGCACTCTCAGAACTTTCCTCCAACACCACAGCTCAAAAGCATCAATCTTCCTTCGCTCAGCCTTCCCTAAGGTCCAGCTCTCACATCCGGAGGTGACTACAGGGAATACCATGGCTTTGACTATGGATCTTTGTTGCCAGTCTGATGTCTCTACTCTTTACTATTTTATCGAGATTGGACATTGCTCTCCTCCCAAGAAGTAAGCGTCTTCTGATTTCCTGGCTACAGTCTGCATCTGTAGTAATCTTTGCCCCTAGAAATACAAAGTCTGTCACGGCCTCCACGGTTTCTCCTTCTATTTTCCAGTTGTCAATCATTCTTGTTGCCATAATCTTGGTTTTTTTGACGTTTAGCTGCAACCCAGCTTTTGCGCTTTCTTCTTTCACCTTGATTAGAAGGCTCCTCAGCTCCTCCTCGCTTTCGGCCATCAGAGTGGTGTCATCTGCATATCTGAGGTTGTTAATGTTTCTTCCAGCATTTTTTACCCAGCCTTGCATTCATCAAGCCCCGCACATTGCATGATGTGTTCTGCATACAAGTTAAAAAGGTTGGGTGAGAGTATGCAGCCTTGCTCTACGCCTTTCCCAATCTTGAACCAGTCTGTTGTTCCGTGGTCAGTTCTGACTGTTGCTACTTGGTCCTTGTACAGATTCCTCAGGAGAGAGACAAGGTGGCTTGGGATGCCTATCCCACTAAGAACTTGCCACAATTTATTATGATCCACACAGTCAAAGGCTTTAGAATAGTCAATGAAGCAGAAGTAGATGTTTTTCTGAATCTCCCTGCCTTTCTCCATTATCCAGCGGATATTGGCAATCTGGTCTCTCGTTCCTCTGCCTTTTCTAAACCCAGCTTGAACATCTGGCAACTCTCGCTCCATGTATTGCTGGAGTCTTCCTTGCAGGATCTTGAGCATTACCTTACTGGCATGAGAAATAAGGGCCACTGTACGGAAGTTTGAGCAGTCTTTCGCATTTCCCTTTTTTGGTATGGGGATATAAGTTGATTTTTTCCAGTCTGATGGCCATTCTTGTGTTTTCCATATTTGCTGGCAAATGGCATGCATCACCTTGACAGCATCATCTTTTCAGATTTTAAACAGTTCAGCTGGGATCCCGTCATCTCCTGCTGCCTTGTTGTTAGCAATGCTTCTTAAGGCCCATTCAACCTCACTCCTCAGGATGTCTGGTTCTAATTCATTCACCACACCGTCAAAACTATCCTCAATATTATTATCCTTCCTATCCAGATCTTCTGTATAGTCTCGCCACCTTCTCTTGATCTCTTCAGCTTCTGTTAGGTCCCTGCCATCTTTGTTTCTTATCATACCAATTTTTGCCTGAAATTTAC